TGCTCGGATGGTGGAAGCGGAACGAACACATGTTCCCATGTCTCGGCATGCTAGCAAGACAAGTGTTATCCGTTCCGGTATCAACCGTAGCAGTTGAACGAGAATTCAGTGCTGGCGGCAACATTCTAACCGACTTTCGAAGTTGTCTTAGCGCTGAATCTCTTGAAACACTTGTTTGCAACCAAGATTGGCTCTTGGCAAGACGTCGAACTCAAGAGTCAACGTACCAACTCGAATCGGAGCATTACATGAATGCAATAACAGATGGAAGTCCGAGTTCTGAAGAATAAGTTATAATTTTTTTGTTAATGTAAATATGTAATTAGTTTTTTTAGCTGAGCGATATATAAGCTCCTTCGAGGGTTTTTCTTTACGGTTATTTACCTCGTCGCTTTTTTTGAACCGTCAGGATATTAAATGTGGTTGTTCTTCAGTTAGTGTATTATTCATTTAAAATATTTAAATAACAACTACATTTTTAGATAACAACTACATTCCGGTACTTCATTCTTTCCTTATACAATTGCAAATTTAAAATTTTATACTTAAAAATTTTAAAAAAAGCAAAAAAAATAAATAGGGGGGGCAAAACCGACCGGTCCGGTACCGGAACCGCCGGTCCGTGAACCGGAACCGGTACCGGCCGGCACGGTGACGGTTCCGGTGACATGGGGTGGCGGTACCGGAACCGGCGGTTCCGGAACCGGAACCGTACCGTGTCCACCCCTAAGAGTAATGCTATATCCGCCTCTTCTTTTAGCTAACTATCCACTCTTTTAATGTTAGAAGTCTAAAATTACCCTTAAAACTGACTTGCATCTAAATTCTCTCTTTTGTGCATTTAAAGGTTAACAAATCTATTTTGACAAAAAATAGAGTCAATATTGCCACATATGAGATAGATTTAACAATAACCCATAAATTAAATGTAAAAATGCTACAAATAAACAAAGGCATGACATATGCCCTGTTTGGAATTTAGCTGTTGACATTTTATTCTTTTTTAATCAAATTTCAAATTTCTTGACAGTCTCTTAATTATTTAAGATTACAAAGTAGTGTTTTCAGAATTGGCTGGATAATCACGGGAGCGGGTATAAATTGAACTAAAATCACATACTCACAAGAAAAGTAAAGGTTAAACCTAATATTTACAGAAGTCCTATATTTAGATCCGTTTGGTATACAGAATTGATGAAATTGGAATTGAATTGGAATTGAAATTCTCTGATATTCAAGTCCATAGAATTGAATTTGAATTGGAATTAAAATTTCATGAAATTCAATTCCATAGAATTGAATTCACCAATTCCAATTCATTTTATGCACTAACAATTCAAAATCTACACAATTTTTGTGCTACCAAACACGAGAATTGGAATTGATTTCCTCAATTCTAATTCCATAATTTGAATTACGTGTATCAAACGGGGCCTGAGATTCAATTACACAGAATTAAATTCACCAGTTCAAATTCATTTTTTGCACTATCAACTCCAAATTCACATAATTTTTGTGCTATCAAACACTATAATTAAAATTGAAGTCTTCAATTCTAATTCCGTAATTTGAATTTCGTATCGGGATCTTAAAATAATTACTTTGTAACTGCAGTTATCAAGAATTAAACGATGAGATGGATGGAGTGGGGCGCTAGGTGTCCTTTCGGTGGTGATTTTGATTTTTGTCGGCGAGGTTCAGAAAATGTAATCATGTTATTACAAAGACAAGCTCATGCCGCCGCCGCCGGAAAGGGCGGAGCCACCTCACGTTAACCGTCTTGTCCATTGATTTTTTCATCATTATAAACCGATCTCAGTTTTAAATTTTGCCAGTTTAGGCTGAAAAGGTCCATGCTAATACTGTTAGATACTCCCTAGGTTATCAAAAGATACAGTAGAAAGGCCAGATAATAAAAAAAATTCACACGCTTGAAATTAGGAAAATACTTCTTGACACTTGACCCCTCCATTATTTCACTTCCTAATACTGCATATTTTTTAGATTTTACTTTGTTTTTGTTCGAAAGGCGGAATCGCTCTCCCTAGGTATCCCTCATCCCTAACTACCAAAAATGTGAGAGAATGTAAATCATGGTGACTCAATAGATAGCAGAAGTTACGACCACTAATCACTGCGCACATGGAGCCCCTCTCATTTTTTGAGAGGTTCCTCCCACACTGCAACAGGTGAGGCGCAATACCTGATCTCTTGTTCCAAATTCCACTTTTAGGACCAGCCGAACTGCCAATCCGAACGGATTTTACATTATTTTTAACATTATATTTTGACAAATTAGAAAAATTTTAGATTTCAATTAAATAAAAATAATAATATATTTTAGTTTAAATTGTTTCAATTGATTTATCTTGTTGAGAGGTATTTAAATTTCAATTTATTGTATTAATATACAGCACATATTAAGAGTAATTGATGATTTTTTATTCAAAAAATCAAACTGAACGAATGCACTGAGATGGAGGGAATATTTGGCAATCGGGTCTGATGACATTGCGATTATTTGACATTACTCATCTATTTTTAGATAGTTTTTTTAGTTAGCCTCTTCTAGTGTTGTAGACGATTACATAAAAAATCTAATTTTCTATTTTTTATATAAAAACAAAATTTGATCATCTAAACTCTAAGCAAATATTCTCTACATGTCAATCTTATCGGTGGGTGCACAATGGTCCGGACCTTAGATTCACGATAGAATATAATTTGTCACACAAATCTAATCCATCTTCAACATCTACTTGAACAAACACATGGCCAAAGATGTTGCTGCAATGGCATTCCACACAAAGCCGCCACCAACGATCATCGAGCTGCCTGCAAAACGCGAGAACAAACCCCTTATATGTTTATTCTATTATCCAACCATAAAAGATATGATTGATTCTACCAGAAAACATCACCTTTGTTGGTATTATTCGATACGCTAGGGGTTGAAGTTGAACCAGAAGATCTGTTTGTTAAGTTACAGTCCATTCCAATTGAACCTGAATGCATATAGTATAGGTAATAAAAGTGTCTTGAATGATCAAGTTACATTTTCTAGGGAAATGCTTTGGGTACAACAAACAAAGGAGGCTTACATTCTTTGAAGCAAGGGAAAGTGGTGATATTGAGAAGGTTTAAGTAACCCTTCCTGCATTCACAAGTGTAGGTTAGTGCAGAAGTCTTGGTACACGATCCCCCTCCGCACTCCGCCCAATTGCAAACTACAAAAGACAAGAAGAGGGAACTTTGAAGAGAGAAACTTCAGATATAATGCCCACAATATGCCCAGAAAAGAGAGTATTAATTACGTTCAAAGATTGACGTGTTGGCTCTTTTATCTGGTGCAGGGGCAGGGGCTCCTTCTCCGCACGAGTAGTTGATGGAACCTAAAAGAAATGAAATCCATGATCTGTATAAAATGTTTAATGAAAAACATTGAATTTGATTCCAACTAGAGAAAGAAAAGTGATACTAAGAGAGTTTATATGTAGCACTTACAGTTGGGGATAACACAAGGCAGAAACTTGAAAGAAGTGTCGCTTTGAAGAAGAGTTTGTTTCCAGCCAGGATCACATTCACATTCATAACCTAAAACACTACTTCCTGATGCCCTGCAACTCCCTTTTCCACATCCCACTTTGTTGCACACTTTATCTATCAATACACACATTAAATCCAAAAGACATACGAAGTACTCCGTATATTGCAGCAAGGAATACCAAATCAGACAAAGAAAATATTAATACATCCCCAAGCATGAATAAGCACACCAATTTCAATTTCCCACACATGGAATACCCAAAACCAAATGATGAATATAGGACGTATACAAAAAGTCACAACATGATACAACAAGTTGAGTATACTGATTTGTATTTTCTATACTCGGGGTAACCCAAAACTTGTCAAAGTAAATATTAAAAGCTGCTCGAAGCTAACTGTGAAAACGTGAATATCGTGTTTATCCATTTATACTCCATATATAGTATCTACATCCTTTACATCTAATTCAAGAAAAATATGGCCAGCGATGTTGCTGCAATAACCTTCCAGAAAAATCCATCTCCCATGATTGAGCAAGCTGGTTTTAATTGTAAGAACAAAATATAGTTAATTAGTCCAATTGTATGACACAACGCAAAACCAAATGTTAAGTAGTTAGTTCATTCAAACAAAGTTAGACGCTACTACTCCATCAGACCGTATATAATTACAACTGTGTAATATGAAAAATCTTAAGTACGAGGATGATTCATTACGGATCAGCAATACTGGGAAAACTCTCACCTTTGCTACTACCATCAGATGAGCTTGGGGGTGGAGGACTAATTGAGTTGTTTGTTAAGCCGAATCCCAGATTTTTGCAGTCCATTCCAAGTGCACCTGAATGCATATGATTGACAAGTCATAAACATCGACAGTGGATTTGAAACGCTTTTTGTATTTGTGTTAATGTTTCCCTTTTTAAGAATTCTGTTCTTTTATGTTTGTTTCGAATTCTTAAATACGTACATGTGTTCAGCAGATAAGTTTAAGAAACTCTGATAACTAAACAATGTCACAATTGCAAACATGTCTTCAGAACAATGGAATAAAAAATGTTCTGTATTGCTTTCCAGAAACGATTCAAACGAAAGAACAAGAAACTAAGACAAAAGAATTACCAAACAACACCTTAATTTTAGATATAGATATTTTTTGTTCTTTATTTTTCATGTTTATTCCTTGGCAAATAACCCGGAGAATAAGTCCAACATAGCATTTTATTCACGTAGGATATCGAGTGGTCTTACATTTTCTGACGCAAGGGAGACCGGTGGAATTAAGCAGATTGAAGTATCCCTCTTTGCATATACAAGTATAGGTTACTGCACCAGTCTTGTTGCACGAGCCACCTCCGCAATTTGCCCAGTGGCAGGCTACATGTCCGAAAGTCACAAAATATGAAGGGCATGGCATAAGGACATTTCAAAATGTTTTGAGTATTAGTGAAAATTTAGATGTAATTACGTTCTAAAATTGATGTGTTGACATTTTTTTCTGGTGCAGGAGCAGGTGCTTGTCCTTCTCCACATGATAAATCAACAGAACCTAAATGACAAGAAATTCATAATCAGCATTAACTGTATAGTCAAAATCAAATATTCTTAGGCTCTGTTTGAATCCCAAAAAATACTAGGGGAGGAATATAGAGCAAAAACAGGAGGAATAAAAGATAAGCTAAGAGTAAATTTAGATAAATAAATCATAATGCAGGACAAAGATTGATTTATAATTAAAGTGCATTAATGATAAAGAGCAACCAACAATGAACACATGTTTAAATATTATGGCCAAAGAATGGACGAATGAGGTTGCCAGGTCAAGATTGTCATTAATAACAATACCATCTCATTGACTTTTATGCAGTCCTGATAAGGTTACCATTTTTTATGACCAAACAGCTCCCCAGAAAATTAATTACTCTTGTTAAAAGCCATAAGAAATGAGGGTTAAACACAGAAGCACTGTAGTCCAAATGTGGTCTTTCAATATAATATAATCCACGGGATCCAACCAGAGAAATATAATGTTTTACTGAATACTGAGAGAGTATAGATGTAGCACTTACAGTTGGGGATAACACAAGGCAGAAACTTGAACAAAGTGTCGTTTTGAGACCTAGCTTGTTTCCAACCCGGATCACATTCACATTCATAACCTAAACCGCCACTTGCTGATTCCTTGCAATTCCCTTTTCCACATAGACCTCCTTTGCACACACCACCTACCGATATATGCACGAATCCAGCAAAAATGAAGTTTCATTGTAAGGAACCAATTCAACCAAAAACTTAAGCTTATGGTCTTGGCCCAAGAAAGGTTGTTATATACTCTAACACGCATCCTCGCGTGCAAGCGTGACTTCTTCGAGCCCTGCACTGAAAGCTTATATTTAAAATTTCGGTAGCGGTGAGTTTCGAACTCGTGACCTCTTGGTCAATAAGGCTCCGATAGACCGATACCATGTCAAAGAACCAACACAGCCAAAAGTTCAAGCTTATGCTTGTGGCCCAGGAAAGGTTTATATATATATACTCTAACATTCATTGATTTCATAATTCATACTGGTATTTCATAAGTAGGTTAGTTCACTCTAGACCTGGCAAAACTGACCCGGACCCGATAACCCGAACCGAATAACCCGAAACCAAACCCGATTTGACCCGAAAACTGAAGAACTGAAATAGACCCGAACACCCGAAATGATCCGATCCAAACCCGAACCGAACGTATTCAGACCCGATTCCGATCCGAATCCGATAAAACCCGAACCCGATTAAACCCGGAACCGAACAAACCCAAAATTGATTAAATTTTATGTATGTTCGTGTTAAATAATAAAATAACTACGGAGTATATCATGAATTGATTAAATTTATTATGTGATATTATTGATTTTTTAGTAAATACGTAGTATTTGATATATATTTGAACTAATATAAACCTAAATCGATGCAAACCCGAATCGATGTAAACTCGAACCGATACAAACCCGAACCGATATAAACCCGATCCGATACAAACCCGAACCGATACAAACCCGAACCAAAACCGAAAACCAATCAAACCGAAATTAACCCGAAACCGAACTGACCTGAACCGAACCGACCCGAACCGATTATAACATGTATCCGAATGAAACCCAAACCGAAAAGACCCGAACCGGAACCGAACCGATTGACCCGATTGCCAGGTCTAGTTCATTCTACTAGCTAGGACGCAAAGTCATGATACGGAGTAATACACATAGAACAGAAGTGAAAATTATTTGTAATTTTAAGTGTTGAATTAAATTGAATTGAACTGGGAAAAACTATATGCCAATCATTAACAAACGCTACATTAGGTAAACTCGATCAAACCCCAAATAAAAATCCCTAAACCGGTACAAGTTGAGTTAAATGATTACGAGTCATATGAACAAGCACATCTTGTCAGCTTAACAATGGAAATTGAAGTGAAGTTAGATACCGAAAATGGGGGATAACAGGGGCGCGAGAGAAAAATCGGCGGTGGCAGACCAGGGAAGCGCAACCGCGACTATGGCGAGAGCAGCAGCGATGGCGTGAATAGAAGCGGCCATTTGCCGGCGAAGAACCACTGAACCGGAGCTTGGTTGGTTGCGGAGGCGGTTGGTGAGGATGATGGCGAGGGAGGGGTATTAATGGAGGAGGGAGTTGAATTTGGATGGAGAGTTTTCAAAAGGAAGCTTCTGCAAATCTATAGAGAGAGAGAGAGATGGGCGACGGCTGAGTTTAGGCAGTTGGGAGGCGTTTACATTTCTTGTTGGCGACAGAAGAAGGAAGTCATATCGAAGAAGGAAACTGAATCCCTTTGGGATTCGATTTAGTATCTTTCCTAGTTTGTTTATTTCTTGTTTTAGTAGGAATAGAAATATGGTAGGAATAGAAGTTTACTTATATGCTTTATTCTCTTCCTATATAAAGGGGGTTAGATCTTTGTATTCACAGAATAATTCAATATACAGAATATTTTTTCTCTTATTATTTTCTACATGGTATCAGAGCAAGTTCTGAATTCTTGAGACCTCAAACACGCTTATTCCCCTGCCGGTGGGCATACACAATTCAATGCCTACCGGTGGGATATTGTAATTTTTGATTTTCTTTGACTGTTCTCCCTCACTAAAGAATATCATGAATTCCTTCAACGAAGAACATTGCTGTCGAGGAATCCCGCCCAACCATCAATCTTGAAGAAGTTGTCCGACAAGGGTTGTTCTACAGAGACAGACAACTCTTTCCTTAGCAGGGAAAAAAAAAAGTCGGCGTTCAGGGTGTTCGAAAAGAATGGCGTTCCCCCTGTTTGTTCGAATACGGTGAAGGTTCGAAAAGAATGACGTTCCTTTACTCGACGGATTATTCGGCGGATTCGAAAAGCTTGGCGTCTCCGTTGAAGAAAAAAAACTGAAGTGTCTAGATGACACTCGGACAACGATGGCAGCGGCTTCCTCAAGCTTTGTTGCTTTGTTCAATATTTTGATGTCCAAGCTGGGCATGTTGAACTCCCATGCTCCAGCTTGAGGGGGGGTGTTGGCGACAGAAGAAGGAAGTCATATCGAAGAA